CTTCTGCCTCAATCTTTTTTATCTTGCCTGGTACTCCTTTTTACCTTTTCATATACTCCAGAAACATATGAGTCCCCTTGATTTTATCCTCCTCTTCCTACCTCTCCCATGGTGAAAAATCATCTTTGGGGCTTTTAACTATCTCAAGAATCAATTTTTTTACAATCAAAAGAAAAAGAAAAAATAAATAAATTGCTCCCAACTGAAAAGAACACCGAAGAAGTTGGTAATGATGTCTATKAAAATATTGAGAAACACTCTTTCTTAAAATTTCACTGAATTTTAATAACTAATTTACTTAACAGAAATTTCAACTTTGGGAGTGCATGAAAGGAAGTATCTGACAGAGAAACACAAGTGATAATTCTGGCTGTAGCTTCTCATGAACCACTCTTGACTTGGAAGTTGACCACAGCAATCTTTTTTCTTGAAAATCACAATTTCATTGAATGCTTTTCTTGAGTTTTCTCTGTAGAAATGTTTTTGAGTATATTTACATTTTTCATATTTGGATAATTTTGTTTTCCTGAAACATATATATCATAAACACAATTATACATTTTACATCTTAATAAATCTTTATGTTTTGGGTGTTTTTAGAACTAGCCAAAAATATTTAAGAGGACAACATTTTGATTTGAAATTTAGCTTTCTCTATGAATTTAAAACATACTTACTTTCTCTAACTTAGGTATTCTCACATATCAAAAATAAATTGTAGCATCTGCATTTTAGAGATAATTATTCACTACAATAGAACTTTCACCCTTCCAATAACCCACCAAGGCAGAAATGAATCTTCAGAATGACACAATGAAGACATAGGCAGTATATTGGCCCACCTGAACAAGTGAATCTGTTCATTTTTTGTATATTTGTGACAAATTGGAATATCAATATTTTGGATGTTTTTGTGGACTCTGGTGGTTAAGGCAATAACATTACAAGTTCTAGGCCAACCTCAGCAACTTAGTGAGATCTCAAAGTACAAAATAAAAAGAACTGGGGATGTGGCTCAGTGTTAATGCTCCCCTGGGTTTTATCTCCAGCACTGGAAAAAAAAATAATACAGGCAGTATTTTTGTCCAATTAGAGAATGCATTTGTTTATTTATTTTTTTCATGTTTRTGGCAACTGGTGTATAAATGTTATGGATGTTTCTTCTTATAGTTTAGAAAAATGTCACAATGCCAGAACAACTTCAATTATTGTGTCAACTGGGTCCTCATATTAAGACACAATTACATATTTTTTAATGCCAGTAGTAGCAGTGAATGGAGTTCAGGAGAGAAAGATTGTCTTAGTCATATGAAATATACAAGATAATTAGGACATTATTATTAATTGATAATAATAGTATTATTATCAATATGGCTCAGAAACACTATGACTTTAATATGCTTCCAAATATAAATGTGGAAAAAATATACATTTATATGTTTCTACAATCATAAACACATCTTCATATGGACAATCCATAGAAAGAGTACATATTTATGTAATAAATATACTAATTACTAGATGCACTTATTTTATCTAAATTAATTATCATCACTTGGTTGTTCACTCAGTAACCCTTCAGTAACTGGGCATMCAAATTTGTGCAAATTCTCACAGAGGTTCAGTGTGAAATCACATTAATTTTCACTTGATTTTAAGTACATAAAACAGTGATATTATTTATAGGCAGAATCTTTTACAACAGATCTCAGAAAAGTAATCATCTTGCAAATTAAAATTKTATACACACTGGGCAGGACATCCCCATGCCTCCAATGTACAGTCATTGGTGGCTACCCTTGTCTTCTGTGTTTCTATGTAATTGACCCTTAAAGATATGTTATACAGGGAGACACAGGATTTGACCTTCTGTAACTGGATTTATCCATGTTATCTTATAGAGAAGACTCACCTTGTTTTTAAAGAGAATAATAATCCACTGTATTTACATACCATATTTACTTAACCACTCATTCACTAGTGGTAGCTTGTGTTGTCTACATTTCTTGGCTATTGTCAATAATGATGCCATGACTATGAAAATAATGACTCTGATTTCAATTTCCTTGAACATAAATACAGAAATAGAACATATGACAGTTCTCTCTTTGTTTAATTTTTGGGGAACCCCCATGGATTTTCTATAGCTACTGTACCATTTTATTTTCCAACTTCCCTCAGTTGGAAATGTGCAAGACTTCAAATTTCTCCAAACCCCCTTAACTTATAATCTCACRTGTCAATGTTCACTGTCTGTAAAGAAAATACAGTAAAATCAGGGGGACTACCAATACTGAAAATACCAGTCAAATATACTGAATGTCTTAAGTTTACTTCAATCAAATTAAAGCTACTAATAAAGTAGTTATCTGYGTTTATTTGCCAAAGCTTTAAGGAGACAATGTTCATCCTGAGCAAGGCTATTTAAGTTTATATATCTTACCTATGCAAGAACAAAATAACTTGACAGTTTACGTTGAGGAATTATGGAGTATATCTCTTTAGTGAATCCTCATATCATCTGCTCCATGACATATTTTGTTCTTGCCCCAGTTTCCCTGTTTCAGTGTCTGCACACATTTTGACTCAGCCTGCTTGTCCTCACTTCTCCCCTGGCAGGTGAGATTATGAAGATTATGAAGCCATCAGACATGGGAGAAAATGGGACCATTCCTCTTTGCCACTCAGTCTTTCTCTGTTCTGCTACTTTTCTACTGTGTATGACACATATGAACAGAGTGTTAAAATGCAATGTGTGCTTATTTTAACATAAACTGAATTTATAGAGTGGTCATATTCCATAGTATATTTGAGACACTGAGTTCATCCCCACATTCATAAAGAAGTCTCTTGAAAGAATGAAGTGGAGCCAGAGTGAATGGAGGTGAATTTATTTCCAGCTGCCCTCAGAAATCATAAGACACTATGATTTGATGATTCAAAACAGAGAAGAAAAAACAGGATTTTATGAAAAAAAAATTTCCTAAGAAATTTTTGATATCCTTGTCTTCAGGCTATMTATGAAAAGCTTGAATATGAAATGATTATTGTCTAAAACACAGACATCACTAGGTCTTGGTTCATGGAGTAGCTACATCTTGGGCAGAGATGCATGGACAAGATTGTCCCAAAGATACTGTAACCACCATCAATGAGAATCACAGGTAAAGAAGGCTTGAGCTTCTGCTCTGCAGAATTCATCTTCAAGATAACAGAGACATGGAGAAGGAAGCGAGAATCATCATGAGGCAGTTCAGCTCACCAGAACTGGCCAAAGACATGTACGTAAGATCAAGAGAGTTTCAGGAGGAGTGAAAGGTCACAGAAAACTGACTGATCACCTTKAGTGGCAGGAAAAAGCTGGAACCTAAATCCTTTGTGAGTGGCATTCTTCATAAAGCCTCAGGATAATAAAAACCAACAATAAAAAAAAGAAAAGGGAAAAAATAAAGATAAAACATTAAAAAAAAAGAAAGAAATTCTGCCATTTGTAACACCACAGAAGAACCTAGGGGTCATTATGCTAAGTGAAATGAACCAAACACATATGTGCAGTCTATAAAAAGTCAAACATAAAAGCAGAGAAAAGGATGGTGGTTAGCCGTGTTGGGGATGCAGGAAAAGAGATGTTGGTCAAGGGATACCAATTTTAAATTAAGGATGAACACAATCTGGGGATCTAATGTAGAACATGGTTGGTGTTGGAGGTGTTAATTTGATGGGGGTAGCAATMCTTCCACATTGTGTATGCATATCAAATCATCATATTGTATATCTTAGATATATATAAAATACATATATCTGTCAATTAAAATGAAGATACATATATAAAAAAATAAAGCCTCAGTATATGTGAATCAYACATGGAATAAAGAGGTGGGCAGAAACTTAACTGACATCATGTGAAGATAAAACTATGATTAGTTGGGTTTTATGATTTGTTTCTAGGTTTAAATAGCTTAACAACTGAAATCAGAAAAATAATTTAATAACAGATAAAATATTGACTCAATCATAYGTCACAAGCAGTCTAATTTCCTAAGACCAATCAATGGAATGTAAATTGAAGTATAAATAAGTTACAATATGAAAAACAATAAAATTTTACAATTTAAAAARATGACTTTAAAAGTATAAAATCAAAAAGTAAATATTTTATATACATAGTACATATTAAAACATGTGAAAATAAAACATTTATATCTTTAAGAAAACTTTCCAAAAGAAATATGAAAAAATATATTAAAACAGGAAGAGCAAAGGAAAGTTATTTTCTCATAAGATAAWTTTAACTATGGTATAAACAAAGAAACCATTATCCATAATGCATTTTACACACATATAATATTTATATAGTTGAAAGACAAGGTGTAATCTGTTTAATTATAATGACCATGAACTAGTTGAACASAGGTCCATTATTGATAAGAATGCATACTTGTAACAAACACAAAACCCTCGTAAGGTAAATTTGATATTTACATCAAGCATCTCATGTAAGATTATATCATTGGGTTAGTAATAGCATTTGAAAGATATACCATAGAGGAATAATCTTTGATACCTCCCAAAGGTTTTCATTACCACATATTTTTTATAAAGAATAGAGGAAACTTCCCAATACCRTAGACAAGTATATGGAAAACATTTGGAGGAAAGTCAGGTTACAAAAATCCAATGAACTATCATTTCAATAGCATCTGATAATTTCAATTTTATAACTTAATATCAGTATGAATACTCTGGATAGAATAATCTGCTCTTCATTAATTTTATAGAATAATAGCAATACCTCTGTTCTAGTCAWTAATTTATTTATTCTTTATTAAAGATCCACTGAAAACTTTAAATCCTAAATAACTAACACATAWCTGTGAGTYRTATATGCAAATTATAAATGCCRAAAAATAAAAATGACAGAAAGCAAATTGTTAAGTTAAGCAGATCATAMTTTATTCAGATAACAAGGATGTCTTTGCACATTTGTGACCATGTCTAGCTTACAATGCAAAGAATTCCTTCTTGATAACTTTCCTTATTGCCATTTTAACATCTTTGTTCCTCAGGCTATAGATCATAGGGTTTAACATGGGACTCACAAAGACATAAAACACAGCCACAATTTTCCCCTGTTCTATAGATGTCTCAGAAGGGGGCCTCAGGTACATGCAGAACAATGTTCCATAAAAYACTGTGACGGCCATCAGGTGGGACCCACAAGTAGAGAAGGCTTTCTGCCTGCCCTCAGCAGAGCGGATTCAAAGAATGGCAGCAAAGATGAAAACATAGGAGATGAGGATGATGGTGAGGGAGCAGGTGAGGTTGGACCCAGCCACCACGAACATGGCAGTCTCTTTGACACAGAAGGACAGAGGAAGCATCAGGATGGTCTGGGCCAGACCATTTGCAAAGCCATAAACATAAGTAGCCACCACAAGAGAGAGACACACACGCCTGGACATCTTGCTACCATATAACAAGGGCTTGCAGATGGCCATGTAGCGGTCATAGGCCATCACTGCAAGAATATAATAATCTGTGGTCACCAGGGCAATCAGAAAGTGAAATTGTATAAAGCAGCCAATGAGGGAAATGGTTTTTCTCTTAGACAAGAAGTTAACCAGCATCTGAGGGGCAACAGTGGTGGCATAACAGAGATCTACAAAGGACAGGTGGCTGAGGAAGAAGTACATTGGGGTGTGAAGTTTTGAGTCAGCTCTGATTAAGAAAATCATGGTCCCATTGCCAGTTACTGTGATGAGGTAGATGACTAAGAACACCACAAAAAGGACAGGCTGCAGCTCCGCTCGATATATCAGTCCCAGCAGAATAAACTCAGTCACCACCGTGTGGTATTTCTTTAGCATTATGCTTTCTTGCCTTTGTATAAAGCCTAAAGCAAAAGTAATGAAGATGCATCTGAAATATTGGCAAACATGCATTTGACATTTAAATATTAAACTTATATAGAACCCTTCCAACAATGAAGAGGCCATTTRTAAATGGAYTTCTGCRAATCTTTTTGCAAGTCTTTTGGTATTTGCAGAACTTTTATCATTTTGCACATACACTGGTGGTTTTAATGATTCATGATGGAGCACTGATTAAGGGAAATGAAGCATATCAATAATTCTGAGACCCTGAGGGGGCACAATAATGAAAAAAAGTGTTTGATAAAACTCTGGACCATGAACACTCCCTGTATTCTTTGTTATTACTGTTCATTTGCAGTTTCCTTGATATATGCATATAAATGTTTATTTTCTCTTAAATTGTATTTTTTCTATAACATTCCTTTGGATATGGTATCCAAAGTCCCAGCCATTAAAAGTTATCTGTTTTTCTTAGCTGAATAAATTTAGGGAAGTGAAAGTGAGGTATGGTGCTAGACCCTTCCTGACAGAACTGGGATCTCTTGCTGGCTTCTCCAAATTCAATATCAACTTCAACTGCATCCTCAGCCTCAGCCTGCAATGCAAGCTCACTTTCTCCACCCTGGGCCACCTTAGGGAATCTCATACCACCAAACCTTTCTTTACTTTTAACCTGGATCCTGATTYAATTTGTTTTGTGTATTTTTGCCCAGCTGTACAAATATTTGCTTTGGGAGAGAAAAAGCAAATCTTAGCTCTTTTTATGTACATAAGAATTTTATAAATATATACACATATATTGATATGTGTWTTCAATAGAAAACATGTGCATTTGCATATGCATTCACCTACATTGGTGTTTTTAAAGATTCATGATCAGCAGTATGTAAGGGAAAACAATGTACCAAAGGATATGATGGAGCAGTGGGGGAAACAATAATTTTAAAAGGTTAATAAACAAAACAATAGACCATCATTATTCCCTAATATTCCCTATTTGCAAAAGAAATTTTTAATGCTCTAAAATTATTTGAACACAGGTTCATCAGAATACAAAATACATATGTATTACATCATAAAGAAATGATAATCATATTAATTATATAAAAGAGATAATACGTAAAATATCATAAATTATGCCATGTCATGGTAGCTCATGTCTGTAATACCAACATCTTCAAAGATAAGGTAGGAGGATGGTGAGTTTGAGGGCAGATTGCAAAACTAGAAAAGACTCTGCTTCAAAAAAACAAACAAACAAAAAAACCACCCAGAAAGTACTGGGGATGTAGCTCAGTGGTAAAGTACCCCTGGGATCAATATCTAGTACCAAAAAAAAAAAAAAAAGAAAAAGAAAAAAAAGAAAGAAACAAAGAAAAGTCAAATAATGAATTATATTTCTCAGCATTTGGGCATAATAAAAGAGGCCATTTATTGTTATTGTTTTTTTAAGTAACTACAATACCAGTGATGTAAGCATGTCACTTCATAAGACCCTTTATAAAGTCAACATTCAAGGGTTCTTTTCCATTGCATTACCCCACACTGCGTTGTTGAAGATGATAAGATACAAAACGTGCCATTTAATTGAATGAAATTTTAAATATTTTATGTTTTTTTCCTTTCTTAAACTCATAAGGTACAAGTGAGTTTTACCATGATAATTGCCAAAGAAGCAAATATGCTTTTCTTGTTCTGATGGAGTTTTTAACATCTTTATTTATTGAAATATGTATKAAGATTCAAAACATTCCCATTCACTCACAGTTATGTGTTAGTTATTTAGTGTAATGCAAGCAGTGAATGTTCCAGATAATTTAAGTACTTTGCAGTAATAGCATTCCTTATAGACAAAATATTACATTTGAGTCAGGAAATCTCAGAGAAAAGCATTTGCAAGAGATATAAGTAGCCCTGGGATCATCCCAGGCTTTGCACTCCTGGATTTCATCTATGATCTCTCATATAGATGCTTCCTGCCACTGCTCATTCCTCCAAATCATCTAAAATTATCTAAATCATTTTTCTTTGAATTGAGTAAAGATATTCTCTTTAGCAAGCATTCATAGTTCAATTTAAAGTAAAAAAAATCAGGAAGTTATCTTCATGAAACACATCTGTTAATTTGCCTTTAATAATTAATGTATATTATAAAACTAAAAGTGGCCATTTCTTAACCAAGAGGGCATAGAAATCATATGGCTCAATGCATATAATTATAGAGTAGCATTGTGAACTCAAAAGGAATTCAAAAGATTAGTTAATACTACCCCTTATGTTGCTTATCCTCTCAATGAGGCAAATGAGAACAAATGGGTTAATTATAGAGAGTCAGGAGACTTTAACTGGTATTGGGAATTTTCTTTCTCACTTCCAGGAARGAAATTCCATTTTTGTTTGTGTGGCCTTGGGTAAATAATCAATCTCTCCATGCCTTAATTTTCTYATTCATAAAAAYTTTGTTAATAGCGACTCCTTCCATGGGAAGGATTTCATTTAGAGAAATCTTTTAAGATACATCTGGCCTGCAATAAGCAWTTGAAAGTTAGTATCTACTAGTATTATGGTGAAATGTGCAAATCTACTTTAGAACAAGATTCACCATCAAAGAACCAGCTCTCTCGGGGACCAAGGATTGTATCTAATCTTGATTGTAGGCACAGTGACTTCTAGTTGAATGTTTTCCCAATTGGAGGCAGGCAATAATCTTGATGAGATCGATGTTCTCTTTGGTCTAGTTTCCTTTCTCTTATATAAACACCACTTCACTATACATTTATTTATAAGTAACTTACTCTAAGAAGAATAGTAGCATTTTAATAGAGACACATGTTATTCATCAGATTAGSCTTCAACTTTGATTTATTTTTATSAATTAAAATATTTAMTTAYGGATTCCAACATTTAAAAGAACCRMRTCTAATCCTACCTTTSGAAGCAGATTGATTTCACAATGACAMCAACAATATGAAGAACATGAAAAAYTTATACCAGAATCGTCTCATATACCAAATACCCAAGGCTCAATTATTTCTTGCAAAAATTTGTACAAATAGGGAGCAACCTCCACCTTTCTGTTATGAACAGCCTGAAATCATAGAGGACACGAGTTTTATTCCTGTCGCTAGGGAATCACGTCTCCCAGGAATGATGAAGCAATGGGACTCACTATTTATTTTAGCCAATACTGAATTAGCTAATAGTCTGAATATTTTCTGACCTAGAGAAGTATGAAATTATCTTGTTCACACCCTGTAAAATAGAATAACGCATGGGAGGAGAAACTTTGGGTTTCAGGTAAATATTGGAAGATCAAATTAATTGTCTTGAACTATTTCCTGCTTTTGAGCCCTGTACCTTTAACTTTTTTAATAGGAACAGGAATTCTCAGCTGAAGAAACATTGTGTATTTACAGATCACGCTGGCAGACGGGGGACTCCCTCTTTGCCACCTTACTCCCATCCAAATGCATTGTCATTTTTTTCTGTACCATTTTTAATCCCCACCTGAAGTTCCTTTGGTGTTTAGTTGACGAACCAAACAAACCAGTAAGAGATCAAATGTGAAGAGAGAAGCTGCTCCATTTCTTTTTCACTTCCTTCCATTTCCTTAGGAATGTGCAGGTATATAAATATATTGAAAAAAATATGATCATCAAGTCCTTTCATTATGCTTTAGCTAGTACTATGTTAAGGCATAGTTCATTAAGTACTGCAAAGACAAGTGAACTCTGAATTCTTATAAGAGTATTTTGTTTTTGGTTTTGTTTGTTTTGTTGTTGTTGTTTGTTTTGTTGTTGTTGTTGCTTTTATGTTCCAAGATTTTATTAGGTTACTCCACCTACAGAAACAGATTCTGTATCTGTTTCAAAACACTTGGTCACAAAGTGTAGTATTTTATTTTATTTTTTTCAGATGCCATAGAATGAATTTTCTAAAATGTGGCATATTAATAAGATGTCATAGTTAATGATATCTGTACCTCTTTGGATAATTTTTACCTCAAAGAAAATTCCTATTTGTATTTTTAATTTATTTTACCCTTTGATGACTTCTAGGACTCTCATGAGTATAGAAGGGAGGCTTATGGTCTGCACCCATGATCTTATGCTGCTCTATGTTGTCTGATCTACCTGGTTGCTGTCTGTTCTGCTGTCATCCAGCACTCCAGGGGCATCTCAAGTTGATTTCTCCCTCCTGGCAGACACAGCTTGCTTATATTCCTGACTGACCCAGTTGTACCTCAGATTTTACAGAGATTTCAGACCTCCTTTGGACCTGTGCCTTATCTCTGTTCAGAACTGACTGAGAAGTCTGCTGGGAGGACTTAATTTCACTTGCATGACACATTCCAGTCATGAGCTCTCCACTATTGCCATGCTTCTTCATTAAATTTGAAAATTTTGGAAATCTGGAGATAGGAGCACCATCCTTGACACACGGGGTCTAAAGAAACTGCTTATGTAACCTGCTCCCACTTGGATGTAAGTATTAACTTGTTAAATAAGCCGAGCTCAAAAATTACTTTACTTTAGCTACCAATAAACTGATTGAGAGTCAAAGCACAGGACATGGAGGGTGGGAAAATTTGTCTTTGAGAGACCTTCTAAGGCCATGAGTCATCTTTAATTTACCTCTCTGCTCATTAGTATATCCATCCTGAAGAGCCAGTCTTGGAGTTTTCAAGTTTTTCTCTGTAATAATCTATACTTTTATATCAAACACTAATGGAGTTCAGAAGAGGAAGATTATCTTAGTCATATGAAGGATAACAAGATTATTATGGAATTATTGTGTTGCTCTGTAGACTTTTATTAACAATCTGTCCCCAAAATACTAAAGCTTTGCTAAAATTTCAATTAKAAATATATAGTAAATATTATATGAATTGGTATATCTCTGGAATTATAAACAAATCTTTGTACAAAGTCTGCAAGAATAATCAACATGTATGTTCAAAATACAGTAACTACTAGTGAAGCTAAATTTGTTCA